TGAACACTGCTGAGAAAGGAGAAGCTGCTTCAGTCATCCCCAACTGTTTGCCCTGCAGAGCAGTACAGGCTGCATGGGGGAGATAACAGCTGCTGTGTTTGGGGATGAGCACAGTCACCAGCATGGTGTGTGCTAGGAGGGCAGAGCCTGTGCACCCCATGTTCCTGATGAAGCCAGAGAGAGGGGAGCACCTCCTGCTCTGTATCAGGAAAAGAGGGAACATTCCCAGCATGGGCAGGGGGTGTCCTCAGGAAAGGTACAGCACAGATGTGCCTGAGTCATGGGAAGGGGAAAGGCTGTGAGGAGGGGGTGATACATCATGATAGGACAAGGAGGAATGGGGAGAAATGGAAAGAGGGGAATTTAGATAAGCTGTTAGGAAGAAGTTTTCCCGGTGGGGGTGGTGAGACACTGTCCCAGGTTGCCCAGGGAGGCTGTGGCTGCCCCAACCCTGGCAGTGTTCACAGCCAGGTTGGCTAAAGCCTTGAGCAACCTGCTCTGGTGGGAGGTGTCCCTGCCCAGGGCAGGGGGCTGGGCTGGATGATCTCTAAAGTCCATTCCAACCCCTTAACACACTATGAAACATAGGACTCCACTTGCCCTTACCACCAGCCCAGGGAGCTCAGAACAGCCACACTCAACACACATAACCATCCCCAGCACTGAGCAGGTGCAGACTGGGGACCTGGTCTCCAGCTTTGAGGAAAATACACCGTCATCCCAATTTTATTTTTTCCTCCCATTGTTTTCAGTCCTGCTGGACTCAGGTGTTGCTTTGTATTACCTTTCTGACAGGTTGTGTTTGGCCTTTCTTTTAGGAATTTTCGGAAGCACCTCCGCATGGTGGGGAGCCGAAGGGTTAAAGCACAAAGTAAGTGAGCACCTGGAAGCTGTGGATGTGAGGAGGAGTTGGGGTGTGTGTGCCAGTGGGACATGGGGAACCCTCTGTCACATGGAGATGTGGGGAGAAAGGACCTGGAGAAAGGATTTGACCTGCTGGTGCCATTTTACCCTACAAAAAAGAAGGCCAAGTTGTTGCAAGTCTCCAGGACATGTGGATGTCTGCAAGCAGCCTGAAGGCTATTCCAGGCACTCTGCCCTGGCTGTGGGACATCTCTGGTGCAAGGAGTGGAAGGAAAGCTGCAACATCCTTGTCCCATGAGTGTGGTCTTTGGTGATCACTGGTGTGAAGGCTTGTGAAGAGACCCCAAGCTGTGAGTTCAGCAGAGCTGCTAAGGGCTGCCTGGTCTCTCACTCCAGCTGTGGCTCCCTGGGATGGTTGGTGCTCCATGTGCCATGCAGTCTGGTGGCTGTGTCCTTCTCCCCTGTCTCACCACCATCTCCGCAGCTGGTGGGAGCTGAGAGGATGATGGAAGGGAGAAAGAAGAGGAACAGGGTAGAGATTGGAGCAAGGGGGAAATAAGGGAGTGCTATGCCTCACTGGGGAAGAAATCACCTCTTAGTCCTGGGAGATGGCAGTTCCCTTTCCCTGAGGAAGGCAACACTCCTCCATAACTTGGTAGGGGCAGCTCCCTGGTCGTTGTGAAATGGGCCAAGTGGTGTAACCTGCTCCTGAGAGCTGAGGATGGCTCCAGAAGGGAAAACAGCTTGTTCTTCCCACCTCCTGGCCAGGCATCATGCACAGACTGCCCACAGCAAAGCATTGCTGGGTTCAATTTGCATTCTTTCCTTTCTCATATGCTGTGGGGAGCGATCAGCAAAGAGCATTGCCCTTTCCAGAGTCTTTATTGGCATCTGAGTTAGCACTGTCTGAGTGAACAGGGCTCACCTCCCCCTGAGCTGTCAGGAAGCTCAGACATGTCTCTGCCTCAGGTCATGTTTCCAAAGCTTTCTTCGTGTGCATAATAGCTGAATGTCTGGTTTTAAATGCAAACTGAGGATGGAGATCACCTGAAGAACTCAAGATGTGCTTTGCCTCCCTGGACACACTGCAGCAGGGGACAGGTTCCTTCTCAGCTCTGCACTGAATTCCTGTGCTGCCGTTTCTAGATGCATTGCTGCAAACCCCCTGTCTGCCGCCAGAAATAGGTATTAGTGGCTATAAGTGGCTGTTAATCTAGGCATAATGGCTCTCACACGGGCTTGCCAAGTCAGACACTGGTTGGCAGTTCCCAGGAATGTGCCTGCAGTGCAGCCAGCTGGGCCAAGCTCCCTGGATTCAGCCTGGGAAATGTCAGTACAAACAATACAGTGCTCTTTGGGAGAAAAAAACCCAACAGGGGTAGTGCTCCCAAGAGTACAGGCAAGCAAAGGCTGAAGGATTTCTTCTTTAGCAACAGAATTTAGGAAGCATGAGCTTTCCAGAGTCATCCCACTACTGTTTGGTCCAGCACCAATTGGGATGCCACGAGAACATGAAGGGTGACCTGCCTAGAGAATTCCTGCCTTCTGGTCACGGAGCTGTCATTAGCTATGCAGAGCATCTTCCTGTGAGGCCTTTGAGTCAGAGCATTACACTGGGACACTGGAATAGCCTTGGTTAAATTGAGCTTGGAGCCGTTTAAGGAGACACCATCAAGTGTTGTCCTTTGTGTGTTCCATGCCCTGTCCTGCGCACAAACTTGTCTCTGCTGTGTGGAGCAGAAGAGAAATCCCTGTTGGCTGTGTGGAAAGGACTCAGTTTGGCAAGTGGAAGGACAAGCCCATGGGAGTCTGTGATGTGTGGCTTTGGTGGAAATCTACTGGCTGTGTTGTTTGGTGGCAGCAGCAGAGGTGGCTTTGGGATCTGTTAATGTCCTGCTTTGGTTTTATCCTAGCATTTGCCGAACGGCGTGAGAGGAGCTTCAGCAGGTCCTGGAGTGACCCGACCCCCATCAAAGCTGATTCCTTCCATGACTCTCGAGAAAGTGAGTTCTGAGTCTTTGGAGCTTCCTCCTGTGGGCAAACCCTCCAGCAGAGATGTTGACTGGAGTCCCACTGGAGGAACTCCTCCGTGCCCTTTTGTCCCGTCTGTGATCCTTGTAGCTTCCTGAGATCGGAACAGATAACGCTCCAGGTGTCTGTACCTGTCATCTGTGTGTACCTGTACTTATTTGTAGAGCACAACTCATCCAACCTCATGTTCTTAAGCAGTTGCCAAAGGATACCCAGTGGTACAGCTCTCTTACAGCCCTCTGTTCCCTTCATCCCTTATCCACTTGGGACCAAAACAGCCTACCTGGAAGCACACCAGCCCAAGACTACCTTCACCATGCTGGGGCTAATGTGGCTTCCCATGCAGGAGTCCCTTCTGAGCTCTTTCCTAGCCTGGAATAGCTCAAGAATACAGCTGCAGTGCTCCATGAGATGGAGCTTTGATTTCCTGACTGTGCTGGCTGCACAGGTGATAGCTTTGGGCAATCTGATCTGATCTTCATCTGCCAGGAATTCCTCTGGGAATCCCCAGTAATGCTGCCATGTTCTGCTTGTGGGGACTGAGATGCTGTTGTGTTAATTTACAGAAGGAAATGCCAGCATCTTCCCACTGTGTTTTTATAGAGGGAATGGCTGTTTTACACAGATTTTATTGAAAGCCTGTAGGCAGGGACTTGGTGGATATGACTTTGCCCGTGTTGAAATGGATTTCTCTAACGAAATTACTTGGTCTGCCAGGTAAGCATAAGAATTCCTGCTAGCTGTGGAAGGCAGGTCGTAGGGGAGGCATATGAAAGGGCAGGGTCAAAACATGACCCAGTTGCTGCTTGGCAGTCTGATTCCTCCCTGCTCCCTCAGCAGATGGAAAAGTCATGGTTCAGGCAGGCTCCAGGCACTGCCCAGTGACACTCGGACATCCTGAAAGGCACAAATAGAGGCATCTCAGTTCTCTTTCCTCAGACCAGGAGCCATCTCTATTTTTAACCTTTAATGGTCAATTATATTCCTTCCAGATGGTTTTTTTCCCCAGGAGGCATTGAAGGCCAACAGGTAAGGTCAATGTGGAGAGCAAATTCGAGTCTACTGTTGCAATACGACTGTGTTTGCTACAGCTGTCCTCGTGCACACTCTAAGCCTTCTCTGCCAGGATCAGTCTGTCCGATAAGGCAGATTTTCTTTGTAATCCCTCAGGAGATGCAGTCAGAGTAGTCATTTTTTCAAGGACACCAGCTTTGAAGTCTTTGGACTTTTGCTCATCAGCTTGGCAATGCTGAAGTGTAGAGAGTCTGTCTGCATTCCGTCTCTTCCTCCATGTCTGAACTGACAGGGTGACTGCTGTGGTTTAGCATTTGGAGGCTAAGCTTGGTGCCTGTGAGAGTGGTGAAGCTGTGTGGTGTTGGGGCCCTGTGTGTGCACTCCTCATTTGTTACGTGTCTGTCTGTTGGGAGACACCAACCCCGAGTGTGGTGTCTGTGGCTCTGGGGAAGACAGGAGGGCACCAGTCTCGTGGCTGCCAGGCAGGATGGAGTGGGGAAGGCTGTTCTGCCCTTGTAATGCTCCCTGTGTTCTGGCAGGCCATGACCTTCAGGATTCCTGCGGCACTCTGGAAGGTGACTTCGACTTGAACTGGGAAGCAGAAAAGGAACTTGAAGCCATGGCATGTGATGGAGAAGACTTTATTCCACCAAAAATAATGGTGAGGGTTTCTGACTCAGCTACCTGTATGTGTTCAGGCTCTCTGTCCTTTCAGAGCTGCTAAGTTTAGGATCTTCATGGGAAGAGACAAGTCTTTTGTATAGACAACCCCTCAGGTGTGTGTGAGGGTCCCTCAGGGATCAGCCAAGACATGACATAGTATTCAGACCTGTTACTGCTGGGGATAATGTGTTAAAAGAAAACTTGAAGTGGAAGGACCTGTAGTCCAACCCCAAATCAGAGCAGGACTGACACCCAACATCAATTCAAGTCAGTCTGAGTCATGATACCCTGAAAACAGAGACCCCAGTCCCAGCAGTCCCTCCCTCCTGCCATTACTGCCTGATTTGCTTTGGAGCTGTGTGTCATCCCGTGGGATGCTCTCTGCCCTTTTGTCATTCTTTGATACCAGGCTTCCCCCTGTGCTCCCCTGCTCTGCTCTGTGGGGCTTGGCAGGCAGGACCAGGTCCTGACACATCCCTTCTTTGGCCACATGCACAAATACTGAGGCAAAATGGGGTTTCAAGCTTCCAGCAGTCCAGCACAGCAGAGCTGTGTTTGAATGGGTCCTGCTAAGACCTGGGAAGAGCAGAGGAGATGGAGCCAGTCTGTGTCTGTGTGTGTTCCCAACTGTGTGTGCAGACTCAGCCCAAAAGCAGCCTCAGGGCAAAGTGACCAGGTGAGACCCAGACACTAGGAACCCAACAGCTGGGTTTGCTCAGCCCTTGGCTGGTCCCTGTGCAGGTGTGCAGTGTCCACATGCCATTTGAACAGCCCAGTTCCACAGCCCCTGGCACAGAGGGAGGCTATGCAGGATACAGCCATTCCTGGGGACACAAAAGCTGCTCCATCCTCTGTGCACACCTATGTCCCCTCAGGGTCAGCACTGCCTGTGAGGCAGAGCTGTGTGTTCTGGGTTGAGGAGACTGACACAGGAGGATACTTGGCAGGCCTGGGGGTGCTCCATGGTGGACCAAAGGCTGGAGGAGCTTCCACAGGGATGCAGATAGGCTGGATTAGCTGCTGGCTTGAGTAACACCTGAGAACAGCTGAACAGGGCACTCTTATCATGGCCTTTGTGCTTCTGTCCAGACTATACTGCCTTTCTCCTCATGCTGTTGCACTTCTTTCTCCCCTTCCAGCTCATTTCTTCCAAGGTGCCCAAAGCAGAGTATGTCCCGACAATTATTCGCAGGGACGACCCCTCTATCATCCCCATCCTCTATGTAAGTAAATTGCTTCTTCTGGCTGGGAACAGGCTTCATACAGATAATTTTATGTGTTTTTTTTGTCCCTATCCCTAGTTCCTGTTATGATGACTCCAGAACAGTGATAGGATTTGGAAAAGCTGTCAGGAAAGGGCTGGGGATGTGCTGAACTCAGCTTTGAGGTCTGGGAGAGCTTTGTTGGGGGACTCAGGTGTAGGTGGAACAGTAAGGTGGAGTGAAAATGGGCTGCAGGGTTCTGCAGGCACTGCCAAGCTGCATGGGAAGAATAGCCTGGGGAGGCAATCCAGACCGGATCACATGCAGAGCTGTGCATTGCCAGGCTTAGGGCTCCTCCTTATGCTCATCTCTGGGATGAGCAGGAGCTCAGAGCTCAGCAGTGGAATCCAAACCATCACCCTGTGTACAGTGGTGCATCCTTGCCAGTCATTCATTTAACATTTTTTTCACAAGGAGCCTGGCCTGAGCAGGTGTCTGAAACAGCAGCAAGGAATCAGGGGTTGCTTTTCCCTAACCACTTTATGTTCACTTGATTTGAAAGGGAAAGGTGGGACTGGCAGCCCAGAGGGCTCAGTCTCCATGTGCAGTGCTGCTGGGGTTTGCAGCCTCTCTTCCTTGGAGCGTTGTACAGTTATCCTGCTGATCCTGCTGTGCCAGGGGCAGCTGTGCTGGGAGTGCAGACATGGATAAAGCCAGAGTCTGGCTGCAAAACTTGGGCCAAGGGGCAAATAGGCACTGCTAGTACTGGCTGCACCTGAGGGATGGTGTGTCCTTCGTATGTGTCTTCAAGCCTTTGGGTGGATTTGGTCTTCATAGACCGTTTAGCCTTCTGTGCTGAAATGTGATTTAGGGTGGTGGTTACTGTGCTGTGAACTGCAGCCATCAGTTGGTGCAGTTGTGCTCTGGAAACATCTCTGGGAATGGGATTGTGTGCAGTATTAGAGATCACAGTGCTGTCATGGGAGCTGGTGTAGTGACAGTGAACCTTTGTCTTCTGTCTTGGTTTCCAGGACCATGAACATGCCACCTTTGACGATATCCTAGGTGAGTGTTATCTGCTTTTCTTACCTCCTGCCTGTTGCTAGTGTCACTGATCAATCTCTTAAAGTCACTGAGCTGGCCTGTGCCTCGGCTGTCACTCAGAAAGGTGTTTTTGTCACCCCAGTGACAGTCAGCTGCTCTTGGATGTGCTGCTGTAATGAACCTCCACCGTGGTGGAAGTGGTGGAGTTATCACTCCTGGAGGTGTTCAGGGAACACCTGGATGTGGCATTTAGTGCTCTGGTCTAGTTGACAAGGTGGTGCTGAGTTAAAAGTTGGACTCAATGACCTTGGAGGTCTTTTCCAACCCCAATGATTCTGTGATTCTGTGGCCCATTTTCTATGCCAAGCTCCCAGTTTGTGGAAGGGAAACTGAGGCAAAGGGCAGCAGGTACCTGCTCATTGTACCTGTGTGGTGAGGGGGAGCATCAGCAGAGGGTCAGGAGGGCTGAGGCTGGTCCAGTGCTGTGGTCACTACAGAGCAGTCAGTGTCTGGTGCTGCACCATCCCTTCTTTGCTGTCACCACCTCTCCCAGCTCAGCCTCCTAGACTAAAGTGAAGAGAAATAAGATTTATTTTTAACTTTATCCATGGTTCATCTTTTCCAACATTTTTTTTTTGCAGAGGAAATAGAGAAGAAGCTTAACATTTATCGGAAAGGCTGCAAGATCTGGAAGATGCTGATATTTTGCCAGGTATGTGCAAGTTTTTAAGTGCTTGGGTGATTTGTTAGAGATTTGTCTTTTTCTGCAGGGAAAATGACTTAGGGGAAGCAATATTCCAAAGTCAGGATCCATTAAAGTAACTGCCTGTGCACAGCTTTCACTTCCCATTTCCCAGACGCTGAGCAGTCTCGAGTTGCTGTGACAGCAGGAAATCAAATCTGATTTAGTGAGGCCAAGCTGAGAGCTTGCTCAGCTGCTCTCAAGGAACCCCAGGCAAACCAGCTTTAGCACAGACCTTGAATGGAAGATTCCAGAGACAGGAACAAGTTTTTGCAATGTAATGGTTATGGTCCATTCAGCTTCAGTGACAGTGGTGTGAGTGTGGTGGGTCAGACTGGCTCAGCTCAGAGCTGAAGGTCAATGAGATGCAGGGTCCAGGCTGGAGCTGTGGCTGGGCTAGGTTTAGGCCCTGCTGGATCTGGGATTTCTTTCCCAAGTCTGCTGTTCCTCGGGGTGTTCAGCTGCAGACTTCCCCAGCAGCTGTGCAAGGAACCTTGACACAAGAAGAAAGGAAGGTCACTAACTTGAACTCCCTTTCATGTGCCTAGTGCTGCAGAACAGCAGATTTGCACCCTGACTTGGACATGTGACTTCTAATGTTCCTGGTGTGGTGCTCAATCTTTCCATGCCTTCTGCTGCTGGTCCAGTTCCTCTGCAGGACTGTCCCTTGCCTGTTTATCCCTGCTGTGCTCAGCTTCCCCACTGCCCACCACGGAGAGTCCCCCAGATCCCCACGTGACAGGGACTTTCTTGTCTTCCCCATTACTCTCCAGCCAACACAATGACAACTTTTGTCTATTATTGTGCCTTTCCAGAGTGAGGTGGGGACAGAACAGTAAAGCCAGAGAGTCCAACCCCACCACACTCCCCAGGTGTGGATGTTTCCTGAGCGAGTGCCTGCAGTGGAGGATGCCACAGCCATGCCAGCCCAGTGGGGCTGTCCTGCTCCTTTGTGGCACTTCTGGGAATGGCTGAGCAGGACAGAAAACTCAGCCAGGGTTTGCTTCGTCAGGGCCCGTGCAAGGGAGTTTCCATGTGTGTGTCTCTCTCTTGCAGGGAGGTCCTGGGCACTTATACTTGTTAAAGAACAAAGTTGCCACTTTCGCCAAAGTGGAGAAGGAGGAAGATCTGATCCTGTGAGTGGCTGAGTTGTGTTCTGGACTTGCATGGTGGTTTTCTGCTCAGTGTTTACAGTACATGGCCTAGCAGGGGAGGTGAAGGGAGCTGGGGTGGCTTGGTCAGGAGCCAAGGAGGCTGAGGGGAATGCTGATAGCAACTCACAGCTCCTTCAGGGGGAGATGCAAAGGCGACAGAGCTGAGATTGTCCGTGGGGTGATGCAGGAGATTTCTGCTTTTATCTGCTGTTTAGTATCTCTCTGGACTAGGGAGTATCAAAATGGAGAGGGAAGCTATTCCTCTCCTAACAAAGGCTTTGCTGACTAGAACCCAGAACGTGCACCTCGGGCCTCTGATGCTCAGGAGTGGCTGTGACAGCATTGCTAAGCTGGAGACTAGTGGCAGAAATCCAGAGTGTTCCCCCACGGCTGCTTCCAGACAGGGGGAAATGGAATTTGTCTCTGCAAAGCCTGCTCAAAGTCCAGCCTGTTGCTGAGGAGGATTTTCACTGCCATGCCAGCCTGTCAGCTGGGGTTGCTGAGGCAATTTTGCTTCTCCTTGCAGAGAGTTCAGCTTTGCCTGTTTTGCTGCCTACTCACTTGTGCTGGCTCAAATTTCCTTGGCTAACAGTGCTTGGCTGTGGGGGAGAGGATGTATACCAACCTGTTCCTACACAACTTCTTGTTGGCATGAGAACTGAGTATTAAAATCAACATCTGTTCAGCAATCTCATGCTCTGGCACAAACAGTGGCTGTAAAACTCTTCAGCACGTGTGCACATACACGATCCTGAACACATTCCAAGCATAACTGCTCTGAAATTAGTAATTCAGGGACCTTCAGAAAGCTGTCAGCACACAGCTGAAAACTTGGAAGCTTGGAAGTGAATGTCTCCATGCAGCCTGTGTGTCCCTGGGAGGCTGTCCTGGGGAAAGCTGAGGATGCAGACTGGTTGCAGACCCCAGGGAGGAGCTGCTGGGCTTTACAGCCCCCCAGCAGCCTGCTCAAACCCTCTGCCCAGGGGAGGGGGTGATGTCCCATGTCCCTGGGCTGCCTGGCCACAGCCACAACTCATGAAGTGGGTCTGACTGTGAGCAGCACCAAACTTGGGCTGACATGGAGCAGCCTGGTGTGGTGGTGTCTCTCTCACTGTGGAGCAGAATAATCTCTCCAGCTGCTCCCTGCTGATTTCATGCCCTGGAAGTGAACCAGTGCACTGCTAACAGTGTTTAGAAAGGGCAGTTGTTGATAGAGATGGGAGAGAGGAAATTGGAGGAGATGCTTAGTAAAACTGTCACTCCAATAGCACTCCTGGTGGACTTTGCTCCCTTCTTTTCACCATGGAGCTTCCTTGGCTCATGGACTGCTCCTCCTTCTCTACCACATGACTTGGACCTGCTCCTCAGACCTTTTCTTTGCCCCTGCTCTTCCTTGTCTAAGATCCAATGGCTCTTCCTGAACAGCTTGCTGCCAGGCTGCAAGCCTTGGGCCCCTTCTGTACACACCTCCTTGCAATTAATCATGCCTATGAGGATGGTTTTTAAATGATTTATTCTGTTTTTTCCAGCTTCTGGAAGAGGTTGAGTAGGCTGATGAGTAAAGTCAATCCTGAACCAAATATCATCCACATCATGGGCTGCTATGTTCTTGGAAACCCCAATGGGGAGAAGGTAGGAGCTTCTTGCTCACCTCTGGGAATATCTACCGAGCAGCACCAAGCCCAGGGAGGCAATAATCACACTAAGCTCTAAACCTGCCTCTTCTGCTGGGTAGGAACATGCTGCCAGCCTGTCCCATGGGTGGCTGTGAGTGGGTGAACCACCCTATGGATTGGTCCTTCCCCAAAGGGCAGGGGAGGAAGGATAAGTGACATGCAGGAGAAATAATGAAGCCTTTGAGAAAAACAGTATTTCAAAGCACTTTATTTAGATACTGACAAGCTAGATGCTTTAAAAGACATGGGTGGAAGGTTTTCTAGAGGGAGGGAACAAAGGCAGTTCTGGGGCTCAGGATCTTTGTTTTGAGCTGCTAACTCTGCTACGTTTCCTTTCCAGCTATTTCAGAATCTGAAAAACTTAATGAATCCTTATAGGGTTGCCTTTGAGTCTCCACTTGAACTATCAGCTCAAGGTAACTCATTCTCTGTACAAAGACACACACTTCCCTAGCCAGGCTGCCTCCCTCAGGAGCATCATCCTGAAAAAACAGTTTGGAATCTCCTTAAGTCCTGCCATGGTCTTTATTTTGCTTGTAGCCACCTTGTGTAGTTCAGCTGCTCAGCCTGGATATCCCCTTGCAAGTTCCTCCATGTTCACATTCCATCTGTCCTGTTTGCTGTGCCTGAGGCTGCAGGGCCCTCTCCCAGGCTGCTGGCAGTGGCAGAGCACCCAAAACAGTTGGGAGGTTTTCCAGGCTGAGTGTAGGAGATCCATCATTACTAGGGCACCTGGAGTCTGTGGGAGAAGTGCACATGGAGCAGAACCTTTTCTATAGCCAGATGTGCCAGGGGCTCCTCTCCAGGACTTAAACAAGTGAGTTGTGTCATCAACAAATGACTGGGATAAAACTCATTGGAACCACTCTACAGCTCAGTCTGTTGGCTTTTTTTTTCTCCCATTTTTGTCTACAGCTCAAGATATTTCAAGGACCTACATGATCTTTCCTGTTCTCTGGTCAATGTCAGTGCAGTTTCATAAGGAACAGAATCTGATTTGCCCTCATGATTTATCTTTGCTGCAGTCCTTGGCACTTTGTTCCCTTGGCAGATCAAACCATGCAGCTGGCTGTATGCACTGTGAATGTTTCCTCTGCTGCTCACAGCTGGCCTTGACACTGCTGGCTTATTCTTAACTCCCTTCACCCTCAGGAATGTGCAGGAGTTGAGCACATCGGTGCTGCACAGAATTCAGAGAACCACACACTGGTTTGGGTTGAGAGAGACCTTAAAGCTCATCCAGTCCCATGGGCAGGGACACCTTCCACTAGTGCAGATTGCTCAGTTCTCTGTGTGTGTGCAGCTCTGGACCAGCTGTACACAGTGCTTGTACAGATCCCACAGCAAACACACTCAGACATGTGCCCAAGAAGCAGTTTGCAGGGAAATTCCCAGGTTTGTGGGCAGCTTGGCAGGCCAGGCAGTGTGCTCTGTGTGCAGGCATTAAGCAGTTGATCTTGCAGGAGGCTGGGCTGAAGAACACGTCCGAATTTATCCCCTTGATCGGTCTGGGACGCACTAAGAGTGTACCCTCATAATCCTTTGCAAAGTCATCTAAAACTAATCTTAATCAGGCCTCAAAAGCAAAAATCCCCTCCTTGAGCCTCGTCTCACAGTGCAGGGTTGTTTGCCCTCGTGTTTGCAAATGCCTCCTGGGCACAGCCTGTGAGACCCTCCCTCAGCCAGGGGCTGGGGGTGCAGAGCTGGCCTTGGTGTGCCCTGTGAGCTCACTGCTGGGAGGAGAGACAGCCCTGCAGGACAGAGCTGGCCTGATAATTAAAAAGAAATACCTCTTTTAATTTGGGTTTTCAATGGTAATTATTTTTAATGCTTCCCACGAGGCTTTACTGTGAGTTAACTCTCGGTGTGTAGCCCCTGGAGGCCCATGTGCCAAGCTGCCTCATGCAGGCTGTCAGGGCTCTTGGCTGATCCCTTCCAGTCCTCAGCTCCCCCTCAGCACTCAGGGCAGAGAGGTCAAAGTCTGGAGACAGACTTTGTGCTCAGTTCCTCCCCCCATGGGCAAACCCTGCCAGGGGATTAGGAGGAGCTGTTTGTGGTTGAGGAGATCTACAGGACGTTTGGTTCTCACATGCCCCAGGGAGGTGCCCAATGTCCTGGGAAGCCTAGGGATGGGTTCCCGTGCCCTGCCCACGGGAGGGCTGGAGTTTGTATGGTGCTGTGGCCTCTCCTCTGTCTCCCTCAGGGTGTGAACCTTTGCTTCCTTTCCCTTCTAGGTAAGCAAATGATTGAGACTTACTTTGACTTCCGCCTTTACCGCCTGTGGAAGACCCGTCAGCACTCTAAGCTATTGGATTACGATGACATTTTATGAGCTGGAGAAGACTTTGCGAGAGGAAGTTCATCACCAGTGTCCAAGAAGTCATGCTTATTGCAGAGAGACTTTTTTATTGGCACAGGGAGCCCTTCACAGCCCTACGGGAGGCAGCAGCAGTGCTAAAGGGAGGGAAGGAGGAGCCCTCGGAGAGTCTCCTGGCTCAAGAGAGACTGGAGGGAAAGGGGGTGACACCTCGCTGGCCTCAGCCCGAGCCGTGGGGTCTCAGGAGGAGCTGTGTGAAACGAGGACAGGATGGAGTTCCTGGCAGAACTGAGCTGTTTTGGGTCAGAATGGGCCAGATTTGATTCCAGGTCCTTTTAAAGACTTTTGAAGCTCAGGTTTTCTTACACAAAAACACAAAAAAAAAAACAAAAAAAGAAAAACAAAAAACCCTATTACCCATGCACTACAGTGAAGAAGTCACCAGAGCACAGAGGAAGGAGAGGGTTGTACTGATGGGACCTTCTGTGCAGGGGATCTCAGAGAGCAAGGACTGCTACACCTACTCCTGCAGCTTAGAGCAAGATGATCCAGTTCCCATGTGAATATATACTGGGCTATAGAATTGAAATCTTAACTTCTCTCTTTTTTTTTTGGTTTTGTTTCATAGAAAATAAGTGCAATTTTTATAGCAAAGGGAGGTCAAATCCCTCCCACTATTTAATGGGTTAAAAAAATAACACACCATAACTAATAGATGAGGTATTTTGGGGGTCTGCTTGAAAATATATTCAAAATGGTAATATATCTTCTGTAGACAATATTTAATCACCAGCAAACATGGTTTGAACATACTTTAGCAGACCCTGCATGTCTGCTGCATCGCTGGGTGCGGTTGGGTTCGTTCCTTTCAGAGTAGCTGTGTTGCACTAACTGTTTCTGTGCTCTCACGAATGTATATTTCTCCTCCAATTAGCCACAACTTTCTACTATTACTTTCTCTTTTGCTGCTTGCAAAACTATGGGACTTTAGTTTTGCTGAAATACTTTAGGTTAGAAATATGGGACCTGGCTGGGAAACCTCTCGTCAGGTTCACTGTGGTAGAAAAATGAAGTAGAAATTAATTAATAGCCATGGTAATTCCTTGTCCATGCCAGTGTTTTGCTGTGTTGGAGATGAGCTCTTTTCCCAGCCTGACGTGTGGAGCAGCTGTTGGGAACCCTCTGAGGGGACTCTGCACTGAGGCATTTGGGAGAAACACAGGTTTGGAGCATGAGTTTGAATCTTCCCTATGTTCACTCGATTGCCAGTTGTTTGTGCATAAAACACCTCTTTCCCCATGCTCAAGACCTGTTTCTTGGTCTGAGCTGCTCCTGTCCCTTCCTGTGCAGGACAGAGAAAATCCCAAGCTCTGTCAGGCCTGAGAACTCAGGTCTGGACTTGGTATTGGATGATACATTTTGGAATCTATCTGCTTTTTGTTGGGTTAGGTTAGGGGTGCTTTTTGTTTTGGGAAGGGTTTTGTCACATTGTCCTTTCAGAGGATAAATAGCACTTAGAGTCTGTGTAGGTCACTGGCAATTCTGGGAGGTGATACAAGTTATTTCTTTTCCAAGCAAAAGAAGTAACAGAGAAGGATTACCTTGTTTTCCTGACTTCCTGGTATCTAAAACGAGTTGGTTGTGAAGTGAAGGAAAATACATGTACAAATCTTTTAACTATTTACAAAAAGAACGAGCTGTTCTGATCTGTAGAGTACTCCTTGCCCTGTGCTGTATGTGGTGTAGTTTTGGGGAGCAGGGCCCCAGCTAGAACTGCTGAAACCCTTGACATTTACAGCAGTTTTCTAGCAAAGCTTTTGAAAAAAATAATGTACATACATAAAGGAGAAGAATAGTTGAGGAGAGAAGGTTTATAGTCATTGGAAGCCACATACTGAAGCAAACAGGTGTGGGCTGTGCCTCCCTCCTGGCTGGGAGCTGCCCTGACCTTGGGGGTGTTTGGTGGCCTTGTCTCATCCCTGGACTCAGTCAGGTTGGCCAGACCTGTAGTGAAGGGGAGAACAGGCACCAATCTGTAGCTTTTTGGAAGAAAATGCCAGATATGGAAAAAGAACCCGAAACTGATGGCAGTTATTGTTTAGCCTGGTGGTTTCCACCAGCTCTGCTGTGAGGGGTGGGAGCCAGAGGTGCAATGACAGCACAAAGTTATGTTATCTGCAGAAGGAAATGGTCGTGGTAGGATTAAAATGCTGACACAAAACTCTCTCCCTTTCTGACCCTTTCACCTCCTGGCTGGAGACAAATGTTCTTCCTTTCCCTTTCCTAAATTGAAATCCCAATTCAGTGAACTTGGTAGCATGAATGTAGCATTGTGGAACTATTGAAAATCTTATTTAACCCCCAAAGGGCCATTTATTTATCCACTTGAGTGATTTCTCTGTAGAACTATTGTATATCCTCACTGACCACGTGTAGAACTCGAGGTGTGAAGTAGAAGGTAGATTGTACAGTGCATAACTTCTGTAGGCAGATGTGTGTTGGAATGGACACTGTGGACTGTTCTCCTGGTGCAGTTTATGGATAATGACAACTGATGAATGCATTTCCCTCCAAAGATCAGTATTCCTCACAGTTTGTGATGTTTATGAGCATATTATTTCCTTTGTAGCATTCATTTGCCTAAAGAGATGAAATACTCTCAGAGCTGTGACTGGAAAGACAATGGAGTTGTGATGTTTAGCAGCAGCATCGTTGGAGTTAACCATTGCTGAGAGAGGAAAACACATTTTTCCCCCTTTTTCACAGGCTGAGTTTTTCAAGTGGCTGCTGGAAAAGGAAGGGTTCAGTAGAGGTAAATAAAAATTGTCATTATTTAAACTTTAGAGGTAAAAATAAAGCCTGGAATTTCCTCAGTTGGACCAGACTGCAAAGGATGAGCTCTGGGTGCACACTCACTGCTGGTACCCAACACAGTCCCAGGCACAACACCTCTGCAGAGGCCAAATGACTGTTCCTTGCCCTCCCTGTGCCCCTGCAGCATCTCCCTGGGGCAAACCAAGGCCAGGGCAGCACCCACAGGCACAGCTCCCTGTGTGCCCCTGCAGCATCTCCCCCAGGGATACTGACCTGGCACAGCTCCCTGCAGTGCCTGCCTGGGGCAGCTGTGGCTGCTGGGCACACAGGGCAATTTGTCATTCCACTTCTGCCTGTTCCTTCCAGCTCTCGACAACCTGCTCTCAGGGTGTGTCTGAAACCTGTTTGCTCACACACCGTTGGTAATTGCAGTGTGATTTGTCCCCCGGGAGCTCAGTGCTAGGGAGGGAACTCCTGTCCCTGCTCTCTGCTAGGGGATCCCCTGCCCTGTCCCATCATGGCAAACTGCTGCTGCAGCTCCTGTGTGCTCTGGAATTGCATTTAGCAGGGCCAGAAGAGCCAGGGACACCTGGTTAACCCTGCAGAGAAGCAGATGGAACTAGGATGGCTGAATTGTGTGCAGCCCTGGCTGTTCACCAGGGAAGGGTTTGTGCTGCTCCTGCTGTGAGGCAGTGTTGGATGTGACCTCCAGCCCTTTGCCTGATGATGGCCTGGGCTGGCAGTGTCACCTCCAGGAGAGGAGAAGGGTGGCAGCAAGGACAGCTGTCCCGGCCTGGCTCACATGCTGGAGGTGACCCCAGCCAAGCTCTCTGATGCCTGCAGGGAGTGTTCACTGAGCTGAGAGGCACAGGGGATCATTGTCTTCTTGGATGTGACACATCCTATACAGAGTTTTTCAGAGAGGGTTTTCTCTTTTCCTCTTGTTTGACTGGGTAGGAAAGGGAAGAAGAAAACTCAAGATACCTGAGGGATGTAGAAATAGGTGGAAAATTGAAATGAAGCTTTTAGCACCTCTCCTCATGCTGCAGCCACCAACTTCCCTTTGCAGTTGAGCTCTAGGCCTGGGCTGGGAAAGTCCTTGTAGCTCCAGCAAAACATCTGACTGCAAAAGGCACTCAGCCAGCTCATCCTGCCTGGGAGAGGACTCTGCTGTGTGCAGCCTTGGGATCCCACCTGCTCCTGCCTGGAGTGCCTCTGGAGCCACCTGAGCCATGTCCCATGGAGAGGCTCCACTCTGCCTCTGCACAGGGCACTCTGGAAAGGAATCTGTTCTTCATTTCTCAGCCTGGACTTTCTCAGCACGGCGTTCCTCCGCCAGGGGCTCCTGGAGTGTGCAAGTGTTGATGTCTCCTCACACACAGCTCTGTCCCATGCCCTGGGGAGATGTTCCCTCGGTCGCTGTGTGCAGTGAGGCAGAGATGTCCCTGTGTCCCTGCTGTGTTAGCACTGCTCTGGCCCCTGGCACACATCCACCTCACAAATAGCTGCTGTAGTTCCGGGACGTGGCTTAGTTAGTGACTTGTGCCTGGGAGTTCCTGTTCCCAGGGACTGCAGGGCTGCTCCAGCACCTTCAGGCAGCATGAGCGGGGCTAGCTGAGAGAATGGGAAATGTTGATTTTTAACGAGCTGGCCTGGCAGGATTTGGAAATGGCAGTGTGTCCTTAATCCCAACCTCATCCTTAATCCCACCAGAGGTGGAACGACAGGCTCGCTCTGCTCTCTTGGTCCAAGTGTAAACACTGAACCCATCACAAACCAGTTTGAGTCACACTTGTATATTATTGATGCATTGGTCCAGGATAAAATGTCGCTGTATGAGTTAAAAAATCCTTCCGTGGCCCTTGGCAGTTGGCACCTGTTTTTGGAACCCTGAGTCAGGGGATGTGCTGGGCTCATCCTTCCTCAGGTGATTGGGCCCCACTGCCAGTGCCAGAACAGGGACCTGCAGGCACAGGTACAGCTGAGAGGCTCTGGGTTTTGCTGTGCCAGTCCCTGGAGCTGGCAGTGCAGACAGCCCTTCCAAGGGATACCGAGTGGCAATAGCATTTTCCACGTCATCTGTAAAGAGTTGTCTGTGATGCTGTGTTTTGTCCCACTGACCACAGTGTATCCATGGCTTTCTGCATCTTCCATGGAAGAGTTTTTTTATTCTTATTGTGGAAACAAAAGCCAAAGTCAACTGGAAACTGTTATGGGCGAGTCAGCCTGCTAATGGTATCCTGTACTGGAGCTGAGTGAGTAAATGGGTGGTTTGTTTGCCATGAACCTGATTGGGATCATCTTTACTCCCAGGTGATCCTGCTGTGTAATTGGCAGAATTCATAGTAAGATAACCTCTTGTTGAGGCAGTGCATGAGCTATTGAAGAGCACCAGGAACCAGCAGCAGCTTCGGTTCAGAAATAACTTCAGCCCAACCTACTGCAAATCAGTGTAAGAAATGTAAAGCCTGGAAGGAATAAACATTGTGGACATTAAATGTAAAGAATCCATCTGAAGAGAAACTACATTGCTTCTTTCCATAAATGTTTAGTAAATATTAAAGACCTAATACAACCTAATAATTTTTCCCAGTATTGTATTGCTTTTAGACTATCTTTAGAACTGACATCGGTAAGGACAGATAAGTCCCCTCGTGTGTTGCCCTATATTCCATGAGCAGGAGAAATTAGGCAGTTCACTGAGCATTCCAATCTTCCTTATCTCAGCATCCCAGGGAACTGGTCATTAGTCACAGCAGTAATGACCTATAAACCTTTGGCAGGAGGAGCCTTTCCACCTGCACTGCTGAGCAGAAAGAGAACTTACACCTCTAAGCACCTGAGAGAGCCAAGTGTTGGTCCTGTGTCCTGGGGTGACCCTTCCTGTGCTTCACGGAATCAAGGTTGGAAAAGACCTCTGAGATCATCAAGTCCAACCTATGACCTAACACCACCATGGCAACTAGACCATGGCACTGAGTGCCACCTCCAGTCTGTC